TTACTAGCATTTGTTAGACTATGATTATCAAGTCTCTATTACAGTGATTATCATTTTATTGGCTATTATATAATGAGAATTAGATAGACACCGTATCTGACCTCCTAGGATTATAAATGACGTAGACAGTCATAAAGAGAACACAGTGAAAGCCAGATATGAACAGTAAATAAATACAAAAGACAGCAAAAAGTTTACGTGGCAAACAGGTCAAGGTTTCAGGTCTTACAAGAGGAGGGAACAAATACAGGACCTTGAAAAACACATCCTACATAAGTTAAAAGAAGCTAGCCCCCTGTTCCAATTAACTTTAGCAGGCTTCCTGGAAGAAGTGAGCCTTCAGAAATATATAAATTTTAGCAATCAAACATTTGGTTAGGGGAACCTTGCTCCTAAGCTGCCAGGAAAAAAAAAAAAAAAAGCCAACTATCTTACGTGGCCATTTCCTCAGTAAATACTGTCCCATGCTGTTCCTTCGTGATCTCTCCACTACCCTCTCCACTGCACCAATGTGAGATGGGGGAACCAAGACCTAAAAAAGGGAAATGAGAGGAAGGGGTATTTGTGGACTGTAATGGACGTGGAATCCGGGAGAGTCCTTGAATCCCCAAGTCACCGCTGAATAAACAGCAGCCTCTCTGCTCCTTCTGGTGGAGCTGTGACTTTGGACAGTTACTTCTGCTTTGGACTCACTTAACCTTTAATCTGGGGATCCCCACACATGTTACTGACATTAAGTCCTTTACTCTCACAACAACCTCAAGCTGATGGGAAAAATAAACCAAAACACAAGGTCATATGAGCTTCTCAAGTCCAATGTGGTAAAATGCAATTAATACTTACTAAAAGCTTATTATCTTATTATAATTTACCTTCACTTTAGGGAAAATTGAGTCACAAAGCATAGAAATAAGTCCAATTTTTGTGTGTGCTGATCCATTCTTTTTTTTGTTTTTTAAATCCTCACCCGAGGATATTTTTCCATTGATTTTTAGAGAGAGGGGACGAGAGAGGGAAAGATAGAGAGCAATATCGATGTGAGAGAGACATATGCCCCGACCTGCACAGGCCCTAACCAGGGCGGGGGCCAAGGCGAAGCCTGCAACCGAGGTATGTGCCCTGGACCAGAATCAAACCCGGGACCCTTCAGTCCGCAGGCCAACGATCTATCCACTGAGCCAAACCGGCTAGGGCTTTTTCCTGTCCATCGTTAAAGAGAGAGGAAGGGAGGGAGGGAAGGACTGACAGACATTGATGTGAGAGAGACACATGGATTGGTTGCCTCCCACAGGGGCCCGACCAAATCTGGGGGATAGAACCTGCAATCCAGGTACCTGCCCTTGATCAGGAATTGAACCTGTGACCCTTCAGTGTAAGGGCTGGCATTCTAACCACTGAGCATACCGGAAGGGAAGAAATTAGTCAATTTTAATACACTCTTCGGTTTTTACTTTATCAATATAATGTTTTAATGTTACAGTATTTTTCTTTCTGGGAGTTCTTATCATAGGCATTTTATGAATAGGGAAACTGAGGCACAGTGTGATTGAAATGTATTGCCTCTTGGTAGGCCTTATAAAATAGTGCCTAGCTGGAAAACTCAAGAACCCCATTTTTCAAGGCAAAATTCTTTTTCCATTAGATTCCTACCCAAGTTTGAAACATTAAATCCACTCAAAGTTAATGAAATGAGGTGGTAGCTGCTGTAAAGTTTGAGTTCTTGATACCAAACACAGTGTAGGGACTGGAGTGACAGCCAGAGTAATCATGATCCTGGACCTCTGTAAAAGGGTTTCATCCTTGACAAGCATTCCACAACCGCGGTTACACTCTGTCCTCATCCAGGACATCAACAGTGCCCCCCTTTTATAGATGAAGGTGAGGAGGCCACAACTCAGAGACATTTAGCAACTTGTCGAAAATAGAGATAGCAAAGGGCAGACGTAGGAATGAAACTCAGGTTTTCGGAATCCAAGTTCAAAGAGAACACAGTTTAGGGAAAAGAGGCGACCAGCTTTTTGCTGGGAGACTTAGAGGAGACTGAGGGAGGTGGGAAGTAGCCGGTGCCAGTAGCACATACGCCCGTATGGCACAGAAAAGGAAACTGTCATCATTAGGCATTTCAAGTGATGACACAGAACTGCCCTGGGCACTGCAGGGATCTACAGACTGCAGCTCTGAGCTCTGAGAGCCTGCAATCTAAGACAAACACACTTAGAAGAACAAAGATATACATGACACACAAACAGTACCTGCTGCAGGAAATCAGCCACAGTGATCTACCATGAGAGTAGAGAGGAAGGCATTTATATCACGTACAGGGGTGGGCAAGGGTAGGTTTACAGTTGTCAGTATGTGAAACACAGAGTTTATCCTTGTATTATTATTTACTAACTTGTAATTGTTCATGTGAACAACTGTAAGCCTACTTCTGCCAACCCCTGTATATGGCCAGGTAAGTTTGGAATATGGAAAACATAAGTTCTTAAATGAAAAGAAGAGCGATACAGAAAAGCAAGCCAGGGAAGAAACATACACACACACCAAGCCAGGAAGGGTTTTTAAAGTAACATTAATTTTAGATGTTCTTTTTTTTCTCTCTCTCTCTCTCTTTTTTAAATTTCAGAAGCAATGGAGTAGCTGTGTTGCATCAAGAGCCGAGCTGGGAGAGGGAGATTTGGAACAGAAACTTATCCTAGGCCTATGGAACAATTATAAAGATGGGTTGGAAGTGGGGCAGAGGGCAGTGTCAGTGGACAAAGAAGGCTTTGAACAAGTGGAAATTCAAGAGAGATTACAACCTGTCTTGACTCCTAGACTGTGCCTAAGTGTTTCCACCCCCAGGCTTTCAGAAAGCTCATGCTCTCCCTATTCCAGCAACAGAAGAATCTCCGCATTGTGAAAGCCCGTCGGCAGCAGATGAAGAAGGCAAACAGTGCTGTGGTAAAGGAGATAGCGGATAGGGACCTTGGAGACAGCGGGCAAGCAGTCCCTAGCCATCCACATCTCCCCAGATACTACCATCACAGAAGCTCCTAGTGCAACACCCATGTATCTGGACCCACCAATTGGGAAGGAATTTCCAGTTTGCTTCATCAAACCCAAATCGGCCTGTTGAGTTTCAGGTCAGGGATTAGATTCTTTTTTAAAATATATATATATATTTTATTGATTTTTTACAGAGAGGAAGGGAGAGGAATAGAGAGGTAGAAACATCGATGAGGGAGAAACATCGATCAGCTGCCCCCTGCTCAACCCCTACTGGGGCTGTGCACACAACCAAGGTACATGCCCTCGACCGGAATCGAACCTGGGACCCTTCAGTCCGCAGGCCGACACTCTATCCACTCAGCCAAATCGGTTAGGGCAGGGATTAGATTCTTAATGTAGAAATTATGTTGAGCTCTTCTGGCATAGAAACATTTCCCAGTATACCAACTCAGACTCCAGCCAGGTAGAGAGACCTGTTTGCCTCTGTTAATTGTGTTTACTCAAGTTGTCCTCTCTGACTCTAATTAGTCAGAGAAGCTGCAGCCCAGAACCGCTGGGAGATGGGAGCGAATAAGAATATGCATACAGAGTCCCTATATGCTGGATTCTGGCTCTTTGCATAACACAGGGTCCTTGGAGGGTAAGTGCTGGCTCGAACCATGACAATTTGAGCCCCGAGCCAAAGGCTAGGAACTTCAGACTTTCAGCAGAAGCAGCTGCTCACCCTGGTTTCCAAGTTGACACAAGTATTAAGACGTGCCTGGGTGGTATGAAAATTTGAGGGTTTTTAAAATGTAATGATTTTTAATTATCTTTTTTTTTGGCCAACATTTGTCCGTCTGCCATATTCACAACGTGCCATCCTCTGCTCTAACCGCTCTGCATGTATTAACACATTCCATACAACCAGCTAGGCCGATACTATGGATATTATGCTCATCCAGAGGAGAAGTTGACACAGAGAGGTTAGGTGACTTAACCAAAGTCACACAGCTCGTTGATGAAGGCACTAGGTCCATTGGTGATAGAATCTATGACCGATGCTATTACCCTTTCTTTCTAAACGGGCAACTTTCAGCTCAGAAGGGCCCAACGTGCTGGTTAATTTATCAACAGCTAGAGAGTGGCCAGGAGCAAACCCCAAACTGGAATTTTCCTAACAACTTACCCTGCCGTCTCCACGTGCCCGGTGGCCTGCGCGCGTTCTCGGAACAACGGTACAAGACGAAGGTGACTGCTCTGTCCCAAAGCGTCGTTCCGATTCTCTTCAATTCCATCTCTTCTTCTTCCCTTCTAGTTTGTATTCCTTATCCTAACTCATTTAACCTTTCATGACCCCCACTCTCCCTTTTGCCTGCCTCGGGGGTGAAACTAAGCCTGGACACCACTCAGCCCTCGGGGGCCGGGGAAGGAGATACAGCTGAGCCGCTCGGGAGCCCCCCGGGGCCCGACAGGGAGACAGATATGCTTTGGACAGACATCACTTGACTCGCCAACAGGAGGTGGAGGGAGAAGAAGGGGTAGACGTTATTTGAATGACTGAGGTGGACTCTCAAGCTGCTTAGAGGTGGACACAGTCACACTCGTGTGTCCGTTTCTCAGTAACTGAAAGGGGTGGGGGGTGCAGAGAACGCCCTCGGAGTCTGGGGTCCTCTGCCCATTGCGCACACGCTCCTCCGGGCGGTCGGGGCGGCCTTCATTCCGGCGCCTCGGCCCTTCCAGGGGCCTCTGCGACCCCCCTCCCGCGACCCACGGGCCGCGCCTCGCCTGTGCGGGGTTGGCCGTCAAGCGCCACACACCCTTCGTGCCGCCTCACACACCAGCCCGCGACTGGGCAGGGCCTCCCGCCGTGAGCGTGCGTAACGTGCCCCCGCAGCGTGACGCACGCGCCGCTCCTGGGCGGCTGGCGTGACGGGGCGGCTACGTGGGCTTCGGGGCTGGAGCGGCGCCGGGGGCGGAGTGCGGGCGGAAGCCGGCGTCCGCGGACCGCGATCGGGAAGGGAGGCGCGGCCGGGGAGACCCCCCGGGGAGGGCGCCCCCTTCCTCCCCGCCCTGTCTGCTGAGGATGGAAGTGACGACAGCAGCCGGAGAGGTCACTTCCTGCTGGGGTGGATGAGGAGGATCCGGCGACACCGCGGAGGAGACCGGACCGAAGACGGACCTTGCCGGGGAGAGGTGAGTCCTGGCCTCGCCGCCCGACCCCTCCGATGGACCCCCCCGAATCTCGGCGGGATCGGCATCCCTGGGGTCGGGAATCCCAGCGGGCCACGTCCCAACCCTGCTGGCCTCACCCAGGACGTGGGGGGGAGGCTCGGGGGAGGGAGG